TTCAGGGATGTTGCTCGATGTCTCCCATTTTGTCTTGATGGCTGCCTTGAAGATCTCCTTTGTAGTTTCATCCTTCAGTTTCCGAGTGTTGTACTTGAACTGCGGTCTATCACCAGCTTCCTTGAAGGCTTTTAACTTGATTTGGAAGGTTCCTTGCACTAGATAGTGGTCTGAACCTACATCTGCTCCTCTTCTTGACCTTGTGTCTCCATTTTCTTGAGATTGAGATAAAGTCGATTTGATTTTTAGTGTGTCCATCTGGTGAGATCCATGTCGCTTTGTGGATATCTTTGTGCCTGAACACACTGCCTCCAATCACCAAACCGTTGAATGCACAGAATTCTGCAAACAATTCTCCATTCTCGTTCATCACCTCACCGAGCGCTTTTCGAACCCTGGTTAGTTCTCTTCCTGTGTTGTCTGCTCCCAGTTTGACATTCATGTCGCCCATTAGAATTTTGATATCGCCAACTGACGTCTTGTCCAGTACTGATTGTAGTTGTCTGTAGAATTCCTCCTTTTTCTCTTCATCTGCATTATTTGTAGGTGCATAGCATTGTATGATTGTGACTTTCCTTCCTTTTGAGTTGAATCTTGCTGTCCTGATCGTGGAGGAGGAGATTGGTTCCCACTGCATGAGAGCCTTCAATGCTCTTGGGGACATCATGATAGCCACTCCACAACTCAGTGTGCTGTGCTCGTGGTTGTCGTCTGGGTGACATTGTCGGAGTAGATTATTGATTCTCCAGTTGACAGTTTGGAGAGTCCACTCCCATTCCATCTGCTTTCGCAAATCCCAAGCACTTCAGTGTGATACCTTCTCATCTCGTTTGCAGTCTGGGCTGCCTTGCTGGGTTCAAACATCGTGCGGACATTCCATGTCCCCATGTTTACTTTCGCTTTCATCGAGAGAAGATACATCGGCCAATCGGCTTCCCGAAGGCTTTCACCAACTGGCGTCATTTCGCCTCTCCGATTCCAGCCAGGAATAATTTTGTCTTTTTTTCTATATTTTGTTTGTGCTTTGAAGTTTCTTAAGCGGTTACATTTGTTTTACGGGGTAGGGTTGCTAGCCGTATGCCCAACCTTCCCTCTTTACCCGGGCTTAGGACCGGCTAGTAACTAGTGAACTAGTTAACCAGGCGAGGTTATGCTTCACGCTAGCATGTGGTATTTCGGGACACTAAATGCCAAAAATACCAGAAAACCGACGCAAACTATCTAGATTCCATCATTCCTAGTGTCTTCAAATTCAACCATGTGGCAGTAAAACTTAAGGTTGTACCCAAAATTTGGAAATGTATTCGAAACAATTTGTTTATGTTCTCACAAGAGACCTCGGCTTTCTGCAGTTTTTCATAGAAAGCTTTATTACTTCGTTCAGAATCTTTAAACTTAGCAAGGAACACATTGTTGTGAAGTTAGAACGACTTTAATGGTCAACCATTCTTAAGTTTGTGCCTTCTACCTTGCATACCATTGTGATTGGTCAGCCTGAGATTTTAAGAGGGTCAACTGACTCACACGAGCTCGCCATATTGCTTTGTTGTCCAGTGCCGGTTAACGTTTTGTATACTTGGGGTTATTTTTGCTTTTTGCAGACGTCAAGCATGTCTTACATGTTGTTTATGCGGCGTTAGTGTGCTTGTTTTGAATGTGATGTGTACAAACCGTGTATAGTTCCTGTTTTTATGGCCTTTCATGTTGTGGTTTGATTTTCGTCACATTTTCCTGCCTAATAATTGTTTCTCTTTTAGCTTTTTCATGCTGATAAACGTTTTCTCTAACAGCAGTTTTAATATCTTGCTGAAACAGCTTGAAATTTGTTTTCCTTCAGTAAATGCTGCTTCATGTATAGTTGCCACTGCTTGCTGCAGGCCAAGTCTGCAAACAGTGCTCATAATTGTAACGCGAGATTGTGAAAATTTACGAAATATGGTACGCTTTTATTTACAGTTGATGCAGGCTTCTTGTTCGCATACTAATACTCAAGGATCAGGGGAAAGGAACGTCACAGCTCCAGTGACCGTGGATACCAGCTGAATATTTGACGGTGTAATGTGCCCTTGTCGGTACTCAAGCTGGGTTCATATCGCCGATGCATTTGAAGAGTTGAAGAAAGTATGCATCTTGGTGTTCTAAAGCTTTTGCAGTATACGTGGACCCACTATATAGTTACAAAGTGCAAACGGAACCATTTGGCTCCGGATTTACGACGTTAATTTGTTGTTTCCCACTGCACGTACGGATATAAAAGGGAATCCGGTGGCCTGGGTTTGTGATCTCGTCCATAAGATGATTAGCCAATCAGTTTCGTCGTTGTAAATATACAGGTTGTAAGTCGAGTTTTCGTTTCCATTACGATGTAGTTTGTTTTGAGTGACGTAAACACTGTCCACAACCACAAATGTGACTTTGAATTTATGAAAGGGGATCCTTATTTCAAAAGGTTGAGCAGCGAGGAGAAGGAAAATGTACACCCTTTGATACAACGCTCACACGAAGTTGAAGAAGTAACTGAATATGTCGAGGATGAATCTCTGAAGATTGTCACTGGTAGTGATGTTCACAACCTAAGAAGTCTAATGATTCCAGGTAAGTTGTAGTTTATAGTTTAATATGTTGTAGGCACACCTTCAGCTGTCTTCGCGAAGCTAAGGGAGTCTGGAGAATTGCGGGAGTATCGCGACCTGTATTCTGGCAGGATGGATTGCATTTGTTTCTTCCTCCATTCCCTAGGGTAACTTCACACCAGCATGATGAAATTATTTGTACCGGCTCTACTTAAAATACGTACAGGGAAAGGTAAGTTCATTTCATATAGACAAATATGCTTTCTGCAGGTACTCTCCGTTTCAGTTGTTGGTTATTAATAATTTCGGGCTCGGCCGGCCTGTCTTGTTCACATGGACAAGATAAGAGAGGACAGACGTTGTGTGGATACTGGAACAATTTAAGAGTAATTATGCGAGACACTTCCATTACAGAAACATTTGTAATGGACTGTGCTGTGAAATATCGGCTATGCAGACAACGCACAGCAGTGTTAAGATGCGTCCTTGTGTGTTTTATTTAAGCAGGGGGTTCAGCAGGAATGTTATACTTTATCATTAAATCTTAGACTCGTAATTCCCTCTTGAGAGTGTACTTTAATAGAATCATCAAAACAGATAGTGCTGAAAGGTAACACTCAATTTTCTAATAATCCTTCGGATTTAATCAATGTGTACGTTTAATCAACACTGGATCGTGCGATTGGTGCATACTTACGACTAAAATAACCCCCCCCCAAAAAAAAACTTAATTTAGGTAATAACCCAAATAAGTGTCGAGAGTTCACATCAGCAATTGAAACGGTATTTGCGAAGAAATGATCCTATTCACAAATGTATATATAAAACGTTTGAGTGGTTCAAACGTTGTTGTTGACGCAGAATGGAAACACTTATTGTTAGAGCCCGGAGATATCGATATGACGCTCCCAGTCCTATAATGCCCCTTCTCAGTCGGACAACACCATTCGCAGCACACGAAGTGTTGAAGGAATGTAATCGCCTAAGTGGCATTGATGTGGACTATTACAGCAATGACGTAGTATTTATAATGTACAATGATAGTGTCTACTAGGTTGATTTTGTGTTTTGTAAGTGTTCCTTCATTGTAGAATTTTAAAATCTCATGATGGGGGGAACATTAGCATGTTTTAAAAATTCTTTACGAAAAATGTTACACAAATCGAATAACTTTGAAAAGGAATGAACGTGCCGATAAGGTTAGAATTAATCTGAATGTTTATTGATTGAGTGTAATTTATGGTGAGAAATAAACTAAATACGGGTGGCTCTAACGACCACCCTACCAATTACTGATATAATGAATTAAATTTCTTAACTTTGCTTATGAAAGCAGTTTTTCATAAACTAAAGAGCCTAACTGATTACTTCAGTCGTTTGGGTGGCCTTTAAAAAAGACTAAATACATAAATTAATTTTGAAGTTTCTATCCACAACTGATTTTCATTCATATCAGCTAGGAACTGAGATATATTAGTTATTTACCTTTATGAAAACCATGTTAATACAGAATTGTTAACCGCTGGTGAAACCAGTAGTATGAAGAATGATTTTAACGACCAGCCTAAAAGTTACACAAGTAGCTTTCAATACCATTCCAGATGAAATCAGGAATGCTCACATGACGTTTAAAGGATTAGTAACTTTCCAGTCAAGATAGATTGCCTATTTTATTTAAATTATGTACAATAATATAGCTTGTACTGAGGTGTTAACTCAAATGAAAGACATAATAACCATAACAGTGTAGCTGCTAACGTTGCCTTTAAGATTGATTCTTCGTCAAACTACAGGCATCCAGCGCTACTTTGATGCCTGCTACAACCAGGTTGACACTTGTTTTTTTTTAAAATATGGGGGCCAAGAGTGAAGGAAATTTCAAATTTGCGACCCAGTGGTTGGTAATTGTCACTCGAGATCATAACATTCATCTATCAAAGCTAGTTTCTTATCTTCATTGATATTCGTAATTCTTATACTTCGTTCACTTGGTCAATTGGACGTTAACGGCAATGTAGATCCCTGGCAGTAATTTTGCTCAAAATATTACCAAAATAAAAGCTTATCATTGGGTAAGTGAATAAAGTATATTTGTAAAACTTACTAATATCATTAAATGTGAAGGTTTTATTACGAATTCACTCACAAGAAAACCATTCTACACAAGCTTATTTCTCAAGGAATTTCCGTTTTAATTGAAATATTTGAAAAAGACTTTATTTATGAACTATTTTATAGATACTAGAATGCTAAATGAAGCTGTTAACTAACTGAGTCAAGATTATTTGTAGGTGGATCTGCTAGGTGTTATTAATCAGCTGATATTATTTTAAAAGATGCAACATTGAAGTTCTCAACTATTGAACATGTATTGAAATACCACAGAACAGATTTCTTATGATAGCCATATGGATCTTTCTGGTGAGAGTTGACAAAGATAGGATCTTTCATTTTTATTTCCCTTTAGATTGATTTCAGCCATTTCATTACTAATAAAAATATTCTGTAATATCGAGGGACTTAATTTCGCTTTCATAAAAATTAAATCGAAAGTAATATACAATAAAGTTCTTTGTAATTTCGCTTTCAGTCTTATCACTTCAAACATCCAGTTTTTTGACTATTGGAAAATCATTGTGTTATGTTACTGAGGAATTTGAAAGGTGCCAGTAGAACTGGTGAACATGGTTGTGAACAGATTCTTTAATTCATGGAAGCAACTGACTGTGTTTATTTGATCAGGTACTGAGTACCCCATTTATTCATAACTCAACAATATCAAGTTGTCAGGTAATATTGGAAAACTCAGCTATACTTAAAACGCATCTTATGTAATGAAATAAATTTTCGGCTAGAATTTGTTCCATTTTACTTGATTTATTAAATATATTATATAGCGAAACAGTATTTCTAATGGATGCAGCAAATGATACTGTTTCATTGTGAGACAAATCTAACATATAAACTAAATTGGAATTACATACTATCATTGTGCAATCCAGTAAATAATACTGTGTGATACTTCCAATCAGTCATTAATGCCTTTACTATGTTTAAAGGTTTTGTGGTGTTAATTCCTGCGATAGTGCATGCTGAAGATTCTGTACTGCATCATCCATAAAACGCGGTCGTGGGTTACAGCAGCTGCTGTTGCTTTCCATAGTCCTGGTTGGTCTGTTGGCAGAACACATAATATGTGATTAAATTGGATAATTCTGCTTTTCAGTATACTACATCAATAATCGTATAATACAAAGTATTTACATTGAAATTGTACAAAATATAAAATAGTGATAGGACGTCTGGCTGTAATAATGATTGAGGAACATTTCAGCTGTGGATAGATAAATGAGAATATTCATTTCCTGATACAGATTTAAAACAAGCAACAAAAGTAATGAAAGCAGGATATATTGAATTCGTAAATTTCAGTAGGACTTGTCAGCTCTTCATTTTACATATATGGTTTTATATCCTGCTATACAATAGAGGAATACATACACATATAATACAGACTGAGGCATGGCAACACGGAGTGCATCATTTATTTATATCGAACAGAGCTGAGATTACGTTGGGAGGGGGGTGACGAATTAATAACGAAAAATAAAACGATCACAACATTTCAAACAGAACAATTAGTAGCCAACCAGATAGCTTGATAAAGGTGCACACTGGGGGAACATAAGTGTTAGGTAGACAAACATGTTGATTATAATAGTGATAATGATGACTTGCCCTTAAACTCTGGCACTTTCCCAGTTTCATAGAAGACTAGTCATACTACCCAGTACTTTAAGAAAGGTTCCAAACTCAGCCCAGGAAATTAACACCCGCTTTTTCGCGTACAATGGAGAAAGTAGTGAAAAATGTCATCTTCTTTCACCTTCCAGAGCATAAACTTACAAGCTCCTCGCTGCATGGATTTCTGCCTAGGAAATTTTGTTTCATGTGTCACTTAGAATTTTTCGATTGTCAGCAAAATAAGATGCTTGCAATCGTGAGAGCATGTGCGATTAGAGTTCGTAAACAGAGCCTATATATACAGAAAGGGGTATAATGTAATATAGTATAATATATTTCATACAACATAAGCTAAAAGAAAACAAGCCAGTTTACAGCCTTGATCACTTTGGTAGTATGAACTATTTGTTATGCACAATAACACAGAATACAATCGACGCCGTTATTCAAGGCACATAAAAGAGAAGTTTAGAGAAAGAATGTTATTGTTTCACAGACAAAAAAGAATAAAATGGCTAAACACAATTGTTCGGCAGATTAAAGCAAGATCAATTGGAAATCAGGTATTATTCAGCCATTGTTTGGACCATCGAATACTGTTGAAGGTAGGGCGGGTATTACAACTGTGAGCTTCGATAGTGTGCATTCCTCATAAAGTTGTGATGGCATGTTGTAGGCTGAGAAATGGGATTACAATGATTCCTATGAATGAAGGACTCATCAGTTTAACCTAAATGATGAATTAAAATTCATCTCCTGTAGGATTGGGTGTATATGAAAACAGATACAAATAGTGTCTCACCTGGTGTTCGAACACGTGTCGCCCAGTGTTGTAGTCAACGGCTTTACCACTGAGTTGTTCGGACAGCAACTGACCTCCTCTAGAACTGCGTTACATGTATCGACTGGTCACGGGAGAGCAACCAATTTCATGTTGTCTAGTTCTGAGTGCAGACTGAATCCTATCGGTCATATTTGAAATGTGACCAGCAAGCTAGGAGGCTCAGCATCGCGGTGCACATTAGTAGATGTTATTTGGTTGGAGGTAAACGGCAAGGAGCCCTGGACGTAGGTTTCGTGCTTGTTGGCACTCGTCATTAAGGCATATATGGAACCTCGACGGAACTGATGTCCCGCCTGAGATTCGAAATCTTTAAAAGGCATATATAAGGCCTCAATTTAAAGGTCCACAACGTCATAGCTCGATGATACCTGAGAGGAAATACAAGCCAGTAGGAGAAATCCCAGATACTAGCGGGGAAGGGCGTTCAAGAGATGCAGAGAAAGTGGTACGAAGTTAGGTTGGAAGACCTAGGTCTTTACTTTCTTAGTTACTGGGTGACATGATAACAGCCTACGAAACACTAAGTAACGCATTACCTGCTGAGGTGGTTGTCATATCATGTTTTAACAGCTACAAGACAAGCTTGAACAGCTAAACAGCGACATGACTTGCGGCCATCCAGTTGGGATACGGACTAAGCTGAAATAACGATCTAGTTGCACATTATTCCAACACAACTGCCTCCATATACTGCCACTCCCAAACTCGATTCAACCTTATGCCTCCCCATTAGACGTCTTGCATCTACAGTTACCATTACTGTTTCTAGTCACATCATCCTATCATAATATTACTTTCTCCTTTTCCTCCCCCGACTCATTATGACTTCAGCCTATTGGCATAATGAGGTTCTCCTTATGACTATCTTCTTCCGCACATTTCCTGAACCAACCAAAGTTTCTACTTTCCTTACGTTTTTTTTCCTTTCAACCTTCTTTGGTTTCCGTGGTTATTCTACTTATTGTCCTGTCTGTCTGGTAACACGACACTTGAGGAATCTATGTGCTTTAGTCCCAGGATAAGCCATTCACCTCCCTACAAACTTCATCCGTGCCCGTCGGGTTGACCACAGCTATAGGAGGTGAGTGGGTGTATCTACTGCATCGGAACCCACCAAAAATCCGGAAGTGTTCTGCAAGACTTAGAAGCGAGCGCGAAGAAACCGATTGGTTCATACAAGCACGTGAAACAGTTATTGAATATTTGATTAAATGTGTACAACTGGTTGGCATGGACTTCGAGAATTTTTCGAAATCAAGGCTAAGCAACACTGAAATTTGACATTTAAAGCTATAGGAAACGTTTCTGCAAACATGTATCAGTGCCCTCTTCTGAAGCGGGAGGGAGAAGGTCATTCCAGAAAGACGTAGAAATAGTGAAGGTCATTGTAAACATATATAAATCGTTGTACTTTCCATATATTTTGGCGTCGCAATACAGCTTCCGTTATCTTACCACCTTTTCAATTTATTGAGGAACCGAGTGACAATCAAGAGTGGAATCTGAAGTTTATTGTTCAAGTGTCCGGAAATATCTATATAACCTAGGATATATTAAATCTGTTCACACTGTCAATAAACACATAATGTTTGAAAGTAAAACACATTAAAAACAAAGAACAGTTTCACTACCTCAAGAATAATTGTTATTTTCTTTCAAAATAGTGGATTTCGAATTTATATCCGGAAAGTGATTCGCATCACATGTCAATCAAAATCGGTTGTGCAGTCTTTAAATATCTGACAGTAATTGAAGCTTAATGAGACGCTGCTATAGTAACGATACTGAACATAATAAGACACTTGAACTAAATACGCTTATAACTGTTCAATGAGCCACAAAAATATACAGAGACAATGGCTGACCTGTGACTACAGAAACGATTTTATTCGACAAAAATGCATCATATGAATACGGTTTTCATAAACGTAAGAACGTATTCGGTCAAAGATAATGCAATTTGTGCTGATTAACTTTCTGTAGTACGAAATTGTGCAGTAAGATTTATCCGGACAGCAGGATTGACTTAAATTTGAAGTCTCAACAAATTTCTATTCCACCCACCGATGATTTGAGTTGTTGTATTTCATTTAAGCCGCTTCTTATCAGTACTGAACAGGGGTTTCATCCTGTTACAACAGGCTTTACCACTTGAAATATCATCGCTTGTATTTTTGATTTCCTCTAGTTTTCCTACAGAATATAACTAGTCGGTCTGCGTTGGGAAATTGTTTCCTAAAAAGGATACTTTGGGCTTCATTTCGATATTACCTGGGTGATTATGACAAGTAGTGGAATCAACATGCTCATTTCAACTCAGGTAGAATCTTCTCGCTTGGTTGTATCTATATTCTAATGTCAGTGTTTGCACTTACATTCAATCCAAGCACCCATAGCTTCAAACGTAAGAGTTATCTGAGTGCTCAGTAAATAAGGCTACATCTGGTGAAACACTTATCATTTGCTACTTCGTGGTATGTAATTCAACGGACAGAGATGACGAATTACTGTTGGCAGACGAGCTTCTTGGATAAGTTTCCCCAGAAAAGCCGATACTCACTGAAATCAGATAGTCAGCTGATGAGTCGTAAATGAGAAAGAATGCATACTCTAGACTCCACTTTCAGCTCATATCAATGACGGTATTACTTCCGTTCTACCACCTATTTCGCAATGATGTAGTGCCCAGTAAGTGACAACTACGTCTAGTTGTAAATGAAATATATTTTTGAAATGTCAATGAGATAGAAAAATTAGTTTTTGACATTTCGCGACTTTTTGGAAATCGCTTTTTTAATAACTTGTACAGATTTTATTCGCTGGAGAAGCGATTTCCACGAAGTTGCGGAACGTCAGAAACTAATTTTTCTACCTCACTGAAATTTTATAAATATATTTTATTTACCCAATGTTCACCTTATTCAACTCTATCAGGTGGAATTTCGACCCTGAAGTTTATAAAATAAGTCTAATTGTGTTAGGTGTTATATGCGTCCATATTTCAATCCACAGTTTTCACGGAGAGAAATTTATTTCGCATGTCGTAAAATTTATCTCAAACTGAAGTTTACAAGACTTAAACATATACGTAAAAACGTGTCAAGTGAAATGTTGACTCCAAACGTACACACACACACACACACACACACAGATTTGAATCTAGAGATAGTCTTGTGTACATTGTGTCGATTGCACAGCATTTTTTGGTTTTCAAAGTACAACATATCCTCATGAAAAAGATGCAATCATAATAAGCAGAAGACACAAGAGGATGAGGAAAAAAGAAAATATAATGCGATAGCCTTTCTTTATGTTATCATCCATAAAGCTTCTGGATAAAAAGAATGAACAACAACATATAGAGAGGTTCAGTCACATGAGATCAATAAATATAAATATGTAAATTGAAAGAGTAGATCGATGTATTGAATTAAATGGTAGCCAACTATTAGGAGAGCATAATGTCACTTTTATCCCACCTAAAACTCCTCCATGAGATTTGAATACAGAACGCCGAAGCTAATGCAAGATGAACCCCCATGCACAAATATAGTGATATTTACTAGTTCAGATATTGTACTTCATCTCTTATTATACTGGTAAACATTATAGTCCCACATATAAACAGTTTTTAAGATATGCAAAGTGCTTAAATAAGGCATTAACAACATAGATGCAAACACTGAGACGCAAAGTGCAGAACGATCAAGAAATTTACAAGAGGATTGTCTACTTACCAAGGTGATTATGATTAACAAATAGATAGATACGCTAACAGACAATAGAGAAACCAGTAAGACGAATACACATAGAGCAGTTATCATAAAACTTAATTTGTGCAGATTTCGAATTCCCTCCCTTTGTATAAAGTATTCATTTTAACGTGCAAAGACGCAGGTAAACACAAATAAATGATGAAGTGTTTTTAATAAACAAAATATATGAATAATATCATTTCGAGTTTTTTGTAGATGTTATGTAATCAGACAAGGACTGAAAAGGTGTATGAATCAAGCTATTCAACAAAGAAGTGGGAGATAACCTCTACTGCTAATTCAGTTATAACACCTTGTTCATTTCAAGGTACATATGTATGTCTATTGTGGAAGTTACTTTCAAACTAAGTTTCTATTACTCCACTTCAGTTTTATTATTTAATGAATACTTTCTGCTGCTAAGTTACGAAATTGAGATTCCATATTTGACTTACTGTTCAAGTAATACGAAGAAAAGAACACAGAAAGTAAAGAAAACTCTAATATTTAGCTTTTAATTATGCAGCAAAAATGTTTTACATCGTTTCATGTGTTTTACATTCTGAACACCTGTTTGAAAAGCTTAGAAAGTTACTTTGAATACTGTATGCTATACCGCTTATACTGGTGACACAATTCCCGTCTTCTCTTATTACATTTCTCACACAAAGATTAAAGAAATAAAAACAGAAAAGTGGTCCTACCTATAGATTTTACATACGCATGGATAGAGAGAAAAATTTTCATGTACCTTGTTCAAACAAACAATAGCACCAGAAAGTTTATTATTTTTATTTTATTATTTGTGCCTTGGGTTCCGAATGGAAACATAGGGCTTCCGTAGCACGTCTCCATTCCACTCTATTCTCTGCAATCTTTTGAACATGGCTCCACGACTGCCCACAATCTCTCATTTATTCCTCACACAATCTCCTCCATGTCACCCTCAGCTGGGACGCCCAACTCACAGTTTCCCATCTGGGTTCCACTCGAAGGTCTGGCCTGGCACGTGATGTCCCCGAATGGTCTTCTCAGTGTATGCTCAATCCATCTCTACTTCCTTCTGCATATTTGTTGAGTGATGGGTTCTTGGTTGGTCCGTTCCCAGAGTTCCTTGTTGCTTACTCTTCCTGGCTATCTGATCTTCAGTAAGGAGCCAGCGTAGGCAGTTGTTGATGAATATCCGTAGTTTGTTGGAAATGCTTTTCGTGACGCGCTAAGTCTGTGAGCCATACAGAAGCACTGATTTGACGTTGGTGTTGAAATTCCGGATCTTGTTCCACATGCTGAGGATATCCTTCTGCACTCAGCATGTGGAACAAGATCCGGAATTTCAACACCAACGTCAAGTCGGTGTTTCTGTATGGCTCAGAGACTTGGCGCGTTACAAAAAGCATTTCCGACAAACTACAGATATTCATCAACAACTGCCTACGCTGACTCCTTACTGAAGATCAGATAGCCAGGAAGAGTAAGCAACAAGGAACTCTGGGAACGGACCAACCAAGAACCCATCACTCAACAAATATGCAGAAGGAAGTAGAGATGGATTGAGCATACACTGAGAAGACCATTCGGGGACATCACGTGCCAGGCCAGACCTTCGAGTGGAACCCAGATGGGAAACTGTGAGTTGGGCGTCCCAGCTGAGGGTGACATGGAGGAGATTGTGTGAGGAATAAATGAGAGATTGTGGGCAGTCGTGGAGCCATGTTCAAAAGATTGCAGAGAATAGAGTGGAATGGAGACGTGCTACGGAAGCCCTATGTTTCCATTCGGAACCCAAGGCACAAATAATAAAATAAAAATAATAAACTTTCTGGTGCTATTGTTTGTTTGAACAAGGTACATGAAAATTTTTCTCTCTATCCATGCGTATGTAAAATCTATAGGTAGGACCACTTTTCTGTTTTTATTTCTTTAATCTTTGTGTGAGAAATGTAATAAGAGAAGACGGGAATTGTGTCACCAGTATAAGCGGTATAGCATACAGTATTCAAAGTAACTTTCTAAGCTTTTCAAACAGGTGTTCAGAATGTAAAACACATGAAACGATGTAAAACATTTTTGCTGCATAATTAAAAGCTAAATATTAGAGTTTTCTTTACTTTCTGTGTTCTTTTCTTCGTATTACTTGAACAGTAAGTCAAATATGGAATCTCAATTTCGTAACTTAGCAGCAGAAAGTATTCATTAAATAATAAAACTGAAGTGGAGTAATAGAAACTTAGTTTGAAAGTAACTTCCACAATAGACATACATATGTACCTTGAAATGAACAAGGTGTTATAACTGAATTAGCAGTAGAGGTTATCTCCCACTTCTTTGTTGAATAGCTTGATTCATACACCTTTTCAGTCCTTGTCTGATTACATAACATCTACAAAAAACTCGAAATGATATTATTCATATATTTTGTTTATTAAAAACACTTCATCATTTATTTGTGTTTACCTGCGTCTTTGCACGTTAAAATGAATACTTTATACAAAGGGAGGGAATTCGAAATCTGCACAAATTAAGTTTTATGATAACTGCTCTATGTGTATTCGTCTTACTGGTTTCTCTATTGTCTGTTAGCGTATCTATCTATTTGTTAATCATAATCACCTTGGTAAGTAGACAATCCTCTTGTAAATTTCTTGATCGTTCTGCACTTTGCGTCTCAATGTTTGCATCTATGTTGTTAATGCCTTATTTAAGCACTTTGCATATCTTAAAAACTGTTTATATGTGGGACTATAATGTTTACCAGTATAATAAGAGATGAAGTACAATATCTGAACTAGTATATATCACTATATTTGTGCATGAATATTTTGTACAAAATGAAAGGTTTAATTAGAGGGTGTTAGTAGGTAGATAAATAAGGGGATAAGTAAAAAGTTTGATGGAAATATCAATTTCATAGTAGTATAAAAATAAGATAACATATTGTTACTTCTCATCTTCCTTCAGGTTTCATTCGCGTTGAATCATAAGCACGAATCAATTGAGATTGACTAACTGCACCATGCTCTTCTTGAGAAAAGGCATAACCATCTACAATTTATACATAGAGAACATATCTACAGTGTTTTGAAGAATCAATCGTAGGGTACGAAAAACCATATTAACCAACGGCATATAAAAGTATGGTTCGAGCTTTTGAAAATAGTAAATCACGCAAGTTTGCACATATTATAATCAATAATATATTTTTTTATAGGAGTCAATTAATCAACTTAGAGCTGACGAAAAAAAAAAATACGAAAATCGACACTTCACAACTTTATTCAATTCATAGCGTAGTGCCACTGTCCTTCAATATCGTTTTCAACCACTAATTCGATTTAGGTACCCATCCCATTAGCACTCAAAGAAAACTGTGCTTCACATTCCAGCTAGCAACTTACCTCAATAATGTAGCAATGTGTTCAAACTGAAAAGTTGTGACCTGCAAAGTGAACCGTTTTACCAATAAACAAAAATATCTCATTACAACCTACTTGGTAATTGGATTCTAACTGACTGCTTCGTCAATGGATATGACCATTTAAATAACAAAAGGTGATAAGTCAGATCTAGGAGAGGCAATCACCAAGTGTACATATAAGACTGAGTAGTCTGAAATGATGGCCAAACATTTGTTCAGCACCGGTTTCCGCCACTTTAAACACGAAGTTATTATTATGGCTTAGCATTTACCGTTTTGATTGGTTTGAACTGAATCGACCTAACATTGTTCGCACATTGGCTCTTATAACACTGTCTTGATTATAACTACTATTTTCACTTTACCGTTCATGATGAGAAGTGACTTATGGTGAACTGCAGGGTGTTTTTATTTTTCGTTTTATTCGAGAATCGTCAACTAGATGTACTTATCACTTCTCCCAAGTGAGAATTTTTCTTTCTACTAGGGGTACAGCTGCATCTATATGACCAGTCCCAAATAGAAAGGTACATTTTAGATTCCACTTTTGGCCACTATTTATACTTACTATCAAAGTCAGTTAGTGATGGAAACCGGTTGAGGAATAACTCATTCCATAAATTATGAACTAAGATGAATGAATCCAATTGAATAACTCTTAACATACCGCAACACTTTTCCAAAAGATTTGTATGATAACCAGTTGTGTGGACAGTGTTCGGAGTTTATCAAATGAAATCAGGGATGAAAGTTAATAAAATAAGTCTCCGATGCGACTGTTCACTGACAATGCAACAGTAAATCTGTAGGAACTACTCACTGAGAGGAACAACCACAACAAACTATTACTGAAGTAGACTGAACCCAGAATCTTCAAATTTCCAAAACTGAGTAAATCACATCTTGATATCATTTGTAATAGTAGTAGCTGCCTAGATAAGCTTCCGATGATTTCCATACCCATAATCAAGACAACTGTTCAGTTGAGGAATCCTGCTACTGACCATGGTCACTAGTGCTAAACTACTGATACAAGTTAGCATTGTCAATACATTTTTACAGTTAAAAACGTCTGTATTTGTTTGCAGAGCTTAAGGAAAAATTATTTATTATAATAATACAATGTTAGACACAATTAATTACACTTACGATCTGTTTGTCGAGGGTCTGGTATGGCTGTTGATGTTGTACTTGTACGTACACTAGCACCGAGACACAGATTGAGTAAAGCTTGTGAACCTGCACTTCTTCGCATAATACGATGGAAAGCAGAACGGTCCAACGATCTGTAGATAAATGCAATACAAGTATTTTCTTTAGCATAAGTCAAGGCAAGAATAATGACGAGATTGAAATTGAAAATTTCTGCGAATTAAATATACAGATTGAGATTATCTTCAAAGTTTTAGTTTACAACTAAGGGAACCAAAAAGGAGTGTGTACACCATTAAATAAAGAAAATCGTTACAGATCTGCTTAAATTATACGATAAATTTGTAATATCATAGGTAAAAATGAATTATAACATGAAAAGGAGTGAAGATCGAAATTAGAATCAAATCTTTAGCCTTAGTAATATCGCAATAATAATAATAATAATAATAATAATAATAATAATAATAATAATAATAAGGTAACATCAGATTTCAGGGCATAGTGAGTGTAGTATAAAGTTGAGAGGAGGGAAATAAAAAGTGAAAACCTGAATGAGAAAAACGCATTCATTTTTACATACAAAAATAAATGACTAGACAAATAAATGAGTTAAAGTATGTTGCAAAAATATAAGCATGTTATGTTCTCGAGGTTATGTCTATCAGTTAAGATTATGGCTAACTTTATTGGTTAAAGCCTCTGATATGAATAGGAATTGAAAAACAAACAAATAACCAGATCGACAAGTATTTAACATGATTGCGAACCATTCGTTATTGCATTTTGAGAAGATATAACAGAGCGAATTCAAGGACGAAGGAATAAGACAATGAAAAAAACTATTATGAGCAGAAAAAAGAGGAAGAAAGGAAATATAACAGTAAAGAGTAATCGGTTCAATGTGAAAATCTTGATAAATGCTCAGTGCCTTTGTTCACCTAAAACTTGCCATTCTCCAAACAACTCCGAGTGATGAGTTAACAGTTCCCCGTATAACTTCGATATACAACTGAAACACAACCACGTCTGAGTGTGATAGGCAGGCAGTGTTATACCACCTAACATATACCCCAAAACGATATCTGAAAAGAGGGTATTGGAAAACCAAGCATCTACAGTGAAAGTTCTAAACATATTCACTAGGACACTACCATGGATTCATCAGTTAATTTACCTCCACTAATTGAAAGTTTTCACTTTAGATCATCATTGCTCATTTCAACGGAGCATATCAGTAATCAAATACCTGTAGTATTTTTATGTTTCCTATCTTCATTTGTCACATTTCACAGTCGTCAACTTTTGAAGAGAATAAACGTATATTGTACACTTGAATATTCACTAGTCAGCTGGTAAGTGATATCACACAGGTCATCATCCAGTGACTGTTTAGATACTTATTGTATCCATTCAGAAAGTCATCTGCGTTTCGAATGCCTAAATGACAGTCTACAGATGCAAATTTCGATGATATTCGTTTAAACATCTGAAATGTGTCAGCTTCTGAAAGATTTTGCAGACACACAATTATACTAACGTTTAATAGAGATAACCCTAGAAGATCCTTGAAAAGCGCAGTTTGATGGACAGCTATGCTGTTAATAAGCTGATAATCTGCATATTTCAAAGACCTTGACGGTCTGTTTGTATCTTAGCCCGACCGATAGCTGCTACCTTGACGTGGTGGTCGGGCTTGCATATCACAATGACCCAACGAGCTATGCTGGTGGAACGCTTGTTCCCTCGAGGTCCTACCATACCAGAAAGGTCTGTTGGGTAGTGGTTAGACGAAAAGCAGTTACCGTCATAGTGTAAATTGCTACACTATGATGGGGGTCTGAGGGCGAAGTCGTACTGCTGCTAGCTGGATGGGGTGTGACAGCAGTAAGGTGTTTCCCTTGGATGACCAGCAGTGCCAAGCTGATGCTGCCTTCTCAGTGGAAGGGGGGGTTAGAAAAGGTCGGCCCCAAAAATAACACACTCCACCACGCCCCACGGTCTGCCGGGCCGGCGGTGTTGGTTCACTTGTCGTTTCCTTTCGACCATCCGGCCCCAAAAATACAAAAATTCAAAATAATCATACTCAAAAGGCTGGGTGTGACAGGCCTCAAGCAGATGTCCGATGGGCTCTGCGGTCACACAAATCTCTTTCAGGTACCTTAAGAAGAAATAGCCTTCCACGGTGTGGGCAGCCGGGAAGTGTCAACCGCCCTCACAACTCTGTCAGCACCCAAGTTTCTTCTGACTGCTATCCTCCTCCTCCATCATTACCTTCTAATCTTCCTTCACGTCTCTTAATTAATGATGCTGCATCATCTTCAATTTCTCCTACCTCTGCAGCCTTCGACAACGATCTGAGTCCACAGAACAGTCCCTGGTCTCCTTAAACCACGCTCCAAATTACATATTGGAGCCTTCAATGTCCGCACCCTCCGTCAAATTGGCCAACAGGCTTCGTTGGCAAAGACTCTAGCAACTCGAGGCATGGATGTGTGCTGTGTTTGTGAGACACGCATACAGGACCCAAGTGTGGTTATTCACCTGACCTCTCCTGACCAATCTGGTGAATCTGCAAAATTCACCCTTCGAGTTTCTGGAGATTCGATAGCTAGCTCTCGTGGTCTTGCAGGTGTAGGTATAGCATTAAGCACCAGGGCAGAAAACTCACTACTAGACTGGATCCCAGTTGATAGTCGCCTCTGCGCTATGAGGCTGAACGGCACAGTGAGAACTAAAAGGAATAGTGAGACTCGCCGTTGTCTCTTTGTAATCTCTGCTTACGCACCCACTGACTGTAGTTCGGATGAAGTGAAGGACGAGTTCTACCATAAACTGTCTAACCTCCTCTCGAAAGCCAAACGTTCGGACGTAGTGGTTGTTGCAGGTGACCTCAACGCACAGGTGGGTAGACTGAGTGAGGCAGAAAGGCACTTAGGTGGCACTTTCGGAATCCCAGCTGAACGTACAGATAACGGTGATCGCCTATTACAACTATGCTCAGATAACCGCCTATTTTTAGCCAGCACAAATTTCAGACATAAAGAAAGGCACTGTCTGACCTGGCGTCCACCGAGCTCGACTCAGCGATGGACACAGATAGACCACATTGCTATTAGTCATCGCTGGAGAGGATCGGTGGAAGACTGCCGCTCCTTCTGGAGTACGTGTTTGGACAGCGATCATGCGTTGGTCCGAGCACGTATATGCCTGCGTCTCAATGGACGTAGAAAAAATTTGGCAACAAAACCACTACGAGTTCTGCTGGACAACGAAAACACCAAAGCCGTGTTCAGTGAGAAGTTGGCTAGGCAGTTATCGGAACAAAAGACTGTCACTCATCCAGAAGAAGCTTGGTGCCATCTTCAGTCTACTGTAAAAGCAGCACTGGAGACTGTAGCCGACTCCAAGATAATGGCTAAAAAGAGCCAGTGGATATCAGCAGCTTCTTCCAAACTAATGGATGCACGTGAATGCATCCCTGCAGGCTCTGAGTACAATGAAGAGCGAGCGCAACTTAAAAATAAACTGACGAAAAGTCTGCGCAACGATCGTGAACAGTGGTGGGCAGCAAAGGCTAAAGAGATGGAAAAGGCAGCGGCGATCGGTAACAGTAGACAGTTATTTAGACTTATTAAGGAGACTGGGGGGAAATGGTCAACAACAGTTAGTGAGGTTATAGCGGAGAAGGACGGATCGGCGATTCACTCGCAGGGAAGGCGACTGGGACGATGGGCAGAACACTTTGAGGAACAGTTTAACTGGCCTCCAGCCACCATTGCGCTGCCCGCTATCCAGTCGGACCCTGAATGGGACATAGAGACAGGTCCCCCAACACTAGAAGAAGTTGAGAAAGCGGTAGGTAGCCTGAAACGGGGAAGGGCAGCAGGACCAGACGGACTACCTGCTGAGGTATACAAGAATGGTGGTAGAGTTCTCTTAGTCAGGCTAACGGAAGTGTTAGCCAGTATATGGGAATCAAATACGATCCCCTCCGACTGGTCTAAGTCACTGATCATCCCAGTCTTCAAGAAAGGCGAGAAGTCCTCTTGTGATAACCACAGAGGAATCAGCCTGACAAACATAGTGTCTAAGATCCTAAGTTCTATAATTCTCCGACGCCTGAGTGGAGCTCGGGAACAGCAAGCCCGAGAAAACCAGGCAGGCTTTAGACCTGGCCGTGGATGTATCGACCAAATATTCACACTGCGCCAGGTCCTGGAACATAGGCATGCTTACAGACGCCCGACAATAGCTGTATTTCTCGACCTGAAGGCGGCATTTGACTCCGTTGATCGAGAAGTCTTATGGCAGTGTCTGTCACTGAAAGGCGTGCCTAGTAAGTACATCACCTTATTGAAAGCTCTCTACTCGAACACTTGTGGGCATGTTAGAGCCTATGGTGAGTTGTCCAGGGAGCTATACTCATCAAGTGGTGTCCGTCAAGGATGCCCACTATCCCCATTCTTATTTAATTTTATCATAGATATTCTTATGGAGGTTTCCCTCTCGTCACCTAATTACAAAGACGTTGACCGGATCACAGGTGAATTTTCCTTAGATCTAGAATATGCAGATGACATAGTCCTGTTAGGTGAAGACGCTGACAAGATGCAGAGTCTTCTGAACACTTTGAGTGGGAATTTGAGAATGTTTGGGATGCGATTTTCACCACCCAAATGCAAATTTTTGCTCCAGGACTGGTCTTCAGCGGTACCGCGGTTAACAATAGAGAGTGAAGTGGTTGAGTGTGTTGACCACTTCACTTACCTGGGAAGTAGGATCAACCCGGTGGGTTAGTTGCCGATGAGATTTCTGCACGGATACAAAAGGCTCGATTGGCTTTTGCCAATTTGCGCCACCTATGGCGCCGCCGTGATATTCGTTTGTCTATTAAGGGTCGCGTGTACTGCACAGCAGTCCGCTCTGTTCTACTGTATGGCTGTGAAACATGGCCATTGAAAGTGGAAGACATGAGAAGGTTACAGGTATTTGACCACCGTTGCCTTCGTAGTATAGGACGTATTCCGTGGTGTCACCATGTGAGTAATGCAGAAGTTAGGTGTAGAGTTTTAGGGAGAAGAGGTAAGTCAGTCGACGAGGTTGTGAACCTTCATCGACTGAGATGGTTGGG